GGCTAGCTGGCTGGCTGGCTGGCTGACTGGCTGGTTGGCAGGCAGGCATGCAGGCAGGCAGGCATGCAGGCAGGCAGGCAGGCAGGCAGGCAGGCAGGCAGGCAGGCAGGCAGGCAGGCAGGCTGGCTGGCAAGCAGGGAGGCAGGGATAGTCACATGGTTGAACCGTGTGACCTTTAAGAGAGAGTGTGGGATGTAGGGGGGGGGGTTGTCGGTGGTGGGGGTGATGGGGGAGAGACCGGCTCACTCCCGAATTTTAAGCCTAACACACTCGACCCGTTAGCAGGATGGCAGGGAGGGAGGCAGGCAGGCAGGCTGGCAGGCAGGCTGGCTGGCAAGCAGGGAGGCAGGGATAGTCACATGGTTGAACCGTGTGACCTTTAAGAGAGAGTGTGGGATGTAGGGGGGGGGGTTGTCGGTGGTGGGGGTGATGGGGGAGAGACCGGCTCACTCCCGAATTTTAAGCCTAACACACTCGACCCGTTAGCAGGATGGCAGGGAGGGAGGCAGGCAGGCAGGCTGGCTGGCTGGCAGACTGGCTGGCAGACTGGCTGGCAAACTGGCTGGCAGGCTGACTGGCAGACTGGCTGGCATGCAGGCTGGCTGGCATGCAGGCTGGCAGGCTAGCTGGCAGACTGGCTGGCAGGCTGACTGGCAAACTGGCTGGCATGCAGGCAGGCAGGCTGGCAGACTGGCAAGATGTTCCTGCAGGCTGGCCGGAAACATCCAGAGGATGTTTGCCAGACATCATAATAATCAGCTAGGAACAATTAAGGACTTTTATAAAGCGGATCAGGACTTCACTTATTGGTGAGTACAAACAAAATACGGTCGCATTTATGCTATGAACCTGTCGCTTTTTTCCCCTAGAGTTTTTTCATAACTTTTTCGTAATATTTTTATTTTTTTACATTTCTAGTTTATTTTTTCCCTTTATTTCTCGTTTACGAACTTACATGTTAAGCGACGGGTCTCGTCCCCGAGGGGTTCGGGAACCAAGTGGTGCTCTGTAGTAGTTTTTGGTAGCTTTCTGATCACCCACTCCTGACCCTACAGTTCCTTTTTTGTTGGGACAGGGGGAAGCTAAGATTTTGGCCCTGGCTATAGCCTTTTCTTTGTGTTCCTTTTCCAGACAGTACATTTTTGTTTTAATGCAGTACATGTCCTACATAATTCTCCTCATTCCTTCCTCTATGATGTGTGCATCGTTCTGCCCTGCTGGGGCTGGTGGTACCGCTACTGCGGGTTGCAGTGTCACTGTTTTTTGCTTCATGTTTTGGCACGTGGTGCTCACTTGTTGGCCTTTGTCTGGGCCCCTGGTTCTTGGGGTTTTCGTTGCCACTTTGTTCTTGCTGTTTGCGGAGTTTGCGGTTCAGCAGTTTCTGCAAGCAGCTTTTTCTCGTCATCCGTTGTCGGACTTATTGTTCCTTCAGAGGGGTCCTCTGGGAGTGCCGGACAGGGCATGCCTGCTTGCCCGGGTTGGTTCTTTCCCAGCTCGCCGGGTTTGGGTTCCTGGTTCCTTGGCAGATGTTCCCTTTGGTTCCTTGAAAGCCTTGGTTCCGGTGCTGCTTGCTCAATGTCCGCACCCAGGGGTTTTTTCTCACGGCTACGCCTGTTTTCAATGATCGGTCCGATCCATGACGGGGGGGTGATTCGGTCTTCTCCTCGGGTCTTCAAGTCAGGTGTTTTTTAACTTGAGTCTCTCACCATCTATTTTGGTGATCAGGTGGCTTCTTTGATGGTGTCTCGCCTGCGTGATTCGTCTCGGCAGCGGTATGGGGTTTTCTGGCAGTCCTTCCTTTTCTTTTTGTCTCTTCATTGGTGTACTGCGCTTTTTGTTGACGTGGTCTTGTCCTTCTCTCGTGGAGGATCAGGACCGTCATTTTGATGCATACTGTTGCCTTGTCTCGTGCGTCACTGGCAGAGCCACTTCGGATTGCTCTGGTTTTGTTGTTCCTTCTGCACCGTTCGCAGGCTGTCTCGGGCATTGTTCACCTCCAGCCAACTCATGTGCCTCCTGCCATCCTGCTCTTGGACAGGGTGCTCTTTTCTCTATTCCTCTTGGGTTGTTGTGGCCCCTTCAGTTCAGGTTTGTTTCTCGGTTTCTACTTCCTTGAGTTCTGGTGATCAGTTTGTTTATTTGTGGCATCTCTTTCTTTCTGGTAGGGTTGGGACGGCTATTTTCCAGAGGGGTCCCTGGGTGTTGTTGCTGCTTGGTTGGTTGGCCGGGGGTGCATCTTCTTGTGTCCGGTTGCAGCTCTCTGCTGTTATTTGCACACTACAGCCTCTGTGGCCAGGGATGCACTTTGGGTTGATCCGGTTTTCCTTCTTCCCCTGTTCTCTGGTTTGAGTGTCTCTTCAGTCGTTCGCAGGGTCATTCGGTCTAGCCAGCCTGCAGTCTATTCCCGTGCCCATGACGTTCATAAGTTTGCTGAGCTTGCTGCTGTCTTTGGCAACATGTATTGGGCTGACATTCGGGCACGGGGTTTTTGGCAGTCGAACAGGGGTCCTGGCTGCATGCTACCTTGTGATTTTCCTGGGCCTGGGCCTAGTCGGGCTTGTATCGCTTTGGGTTGGCGGTTGCAGCCTGTTGTCTCAACTTCGTGTTGGGATGTGAACACCGACCACCTCCCGGATAAGTCCCTCTGTTTTCGTCTTTAGTGAAGTATCTGCAGAGAGCCATAGGGGCTCCCCCCAGAAAACCAGCGTTGAATGTAATGAAACACCATTTTATGGGAGAGTCCTGGAGGCTACCCAGCAACCCTCCCTCCCTCCAGTCGGCAGTTTTCACATACAGTGGTACCTCGGAATGCGAGTGTCCCTGTATGCGAGTTTTTCGGAAGACGAGCAGGATTTACTCCAAAAATATGTCTCGGAAGGCGAGGGTTACCTCAGGACGCGAGTTTGTTGATACGTGTACAGGCCGACTGGCGCGTGGTGGCATGGCGATCGCGCCTCAGTTTACCAGTGTCTCGTGTCCAGTGACTATCCCACCTGAATTCTTCACAAGGATTTACAGTTTTTTATCGGTTTTTTGGCCATTTGAGCATAAAAGTTGTCATTATATATCTTGCCATGGGTCTCAAGAAAGTCATTGATAAGGTTCAACCTAAGAAAATAGCTGTGAGTAGAGGCAGTAGAGGATGTCCCTTCTTGATTAAGAAAATGTGAGAAGTATGGGAAGAACTGCAAAGTTTTGTTGAAAAAACTCACCCAGATAAAGCTATATCAGGCCGTTGCATTGACCTTTTAAATGATAATGTGATGTCTTACTACAGACAAGTGTTAAAATGTAGGGAAAAACAAGTGTCATTAGACAAATTCTTAGTAAAACAAGCAAGTCCTAGTGGTATGCAGGCAAAATGTGGCAGAGTGTGCATACCAGTGAAGTCCTCACTGCCTGATGTGATAATGGAAGGGGACTCCCCTTCCAAACAGTAACTCCTCTCTTCCTCCCACCTCCTCACCATCTTCCATACGCCATCTTCCATCTTATTAGGTAAGTAATAACTTGAACATAATTTTGTAGGTTTATTTAGATGAATTAGGTATAAAAATTTAGTTTGATGTGGGTTTTTTGGGGTAGTCAGGAACGGATTAATTCATTTCCCTTTATTTCTTATGGGGAAATTAGCTTCGGAATGCGAGTTTTCGGAATACGAGGCGTCTCCAGGAACCAATTAAACTCTTAAACTGAGGTATGCCTGTATTTTGATATTCGGCCTCAGAACTGGGGTGTGGATCGCTGGTGCGGGGGGGTCAGGAGCTTCCCCTCCCCCCTCCCGGGGGAGGGGGGAGGAGGGAGCTGCGCAGACATGCTGCATGGCTCGTGTGACATCATATTCCTTTGGTTGTCTTCATTTGGGGAGTTCTGTCTACTCGTTTGTCTATTTTTGTTGTTTTAACCAGAATAGGGGTTTGTTTTGAGGCGCCTTGCTGGGTGCCTGTCCCGGTCGATGGCAGATATAGAATGCTCCAAAGTCACATGCATTTCTATAGGCCATTGCTCCTCGTGCCTCTGTGAGGGGGCCAGGTTCTGGCTCGTGGTCCCCAATAGGCCTAGAACTCCACCCACATCGACTGATGCCAAAGTTAGGGATATCTATATTAGCCTGGATAGCTCCAGGGAGCCTCCGGGACTCTCACAGAAAATGGCGTTTCATTACATTCAACGCTGGTTTTTGAACATTTTCATCACTCTTTGTGGTTTGAAATGAAAAGTTTGGAAACATTTTGACATTAACTCTACCTGAACATTTATAAAAAATAAAAATATATATCCTTGACAATTGCACTATGAAGTTTTTGCCAAAATCAGTGTGCAGTGCTGTGATTAAGGTGAGGCCTTCTTCTCCTAAGCTTACTATTTTCTCAATGAGTTTTAACTTTGATGTTGCTTTGTCTATCTTGGATGGTGTATTTCCTTATGTAAACCTCCAAAAATTATTATGGACTTACTTTTATCTGCAGTGTTTTGTACTATTTACTGTTGGTAACCAGTTCTTTTCTAAATGCTTGTCCAATGTCTACATCTTGTTGCTCATTTCTGTTTTTGAATTTTAAATATATTTCGTTGATCGTTTCTTTCTCTTTTACAACTTGCACATATGTTTCCTTTTCTTTTCTTTCTTCTTTGCACTTTTCCAGTCCTTTGATGGATTGATGAAGATTAAGCCACCCAAGAGGTGGCACCGGCATGAATAGCCCATAAGTGGTAGATTTTTCGGAGTGAATGTGATCTTTGGTCGTGAAACGTAAAATACTGCACTGTGAAACGATAATCCTTTATCAATCACCTCTATTTGAGCTGTTAGTGAAGTTTCTTCAGGTTTGGAGGTATCTAAGCTAGTTAGCTACTGGCAGCTACCATATCACTTTTCAGAAACCTGTCATGACATTAAATTTTTAAAAGAATAATACTCAATATTTTTGTTTTGTTTGAGAAAATTTGTATAACCAAAGATTACTTTTTACTTTATCTAATAAATGTATTACTTCCAGGATAAGAATGGTTCTGAAGTGGAATTAGCTGTTATTAATGTGTATTGTCCTCGTGTGGATCCTGAGAAGCCTGAACGTCGTGCTTTCAAATTACGGTTTTATGAGCTTCTGAGACAAAGAGCTGCTGTCATTCGATCAACTGGCTGCCATGTTGTAATTGTGGGAGACATTAATACATCACATAAGCAAATTGATCATTGTGATCCTGATAAAGCTGAGGTATAAATGTTGAGTTGAGGATTTTTGCTCATTAATTATCAATTATTAAGGATTAATTTTTTTCTTGTTTATTGTCCTCTTCCATTTCCTCTAGAATCTATTGTATGTCTCCTTATTTGATTGTATTTGATTGTTGAATATGAATTAAGTTAGTTATTACTGGTTTTTAAGTGTGAAATCTGACAATAATTGTGATGAATATGGAATATGACTAATAGGTTGATATAATGTTTTATTAATCATTCAGTGTTGTGAATGAATTTGTTTCTGAAGGGAGCGCCCCGGTGACTCCCTGAAACTGTCTTCCTGAGATTACGTTAGTTGCTGAAGTTTGGTTTGCCTATTAGGCACCAGAGCCAGAACAGGGGCCCCCCCTCACATTGGTGCAGGGAGTGGGTGACACTCCATCACCACACCAGAAAAAGCCTCCAAAAAGTTGGTGCAGCTTCACAGATAACTGGTGGTTCACAGGAAATGAAGCCTCGAACCTACCAAACAACCTTGCAAATGATTCACACAAAAGGGATTCAGTCAAATGAGCTAGAAAATCATTAGTACTGATTACCTCCACCAGACAGCTTGGCCCAGGTTTCCAGCTGGCTCGCCAAGTCAGTCCTGTTTCTGATACTGGTGTCTTCACACCCGATAGTAGTGCTTCCGGTTACGATAGTTCACTGTCATGCTCCTAAGCATCAAGCTAAGTTCCTGTCATCCCTGGACTTTTGCTTGTCCTTTGGGGGTTATTTGCTTTGTGTAATGTTTCTAGTTTCATTGTAGACATCATGTACATGTTTTGATTTCAGCTTGTTGCTGGGCTTGAGTGGCTCCTTTGATGTTTGGGCTTCTTGCACTCATGGTTCTTTTCCCTGTGTGTCTACTAATACTGCCCTTCCACAGCCAGAGCTTTCCTTCTCTGGTGTGTTTGAGAAAAGAAGGTTCAATGGTTCACCCCTGAGAGGCCTCACCTTGGGCTATTCAGGAATTGTGGGTTTCTCTGTTTGAACTCTTGGTTGGGAGCATTCTTTAGTTGTGTTGGGGTGCACTAGGGCTTGTATGCATGCTGTGGTTGCTTATTGTAGCCTGGTGGTTTAGGTGAAGTGCCCCAGTGCCTGGGTTATCTCCTTGGTTAGTGTCCTTCAAGTCCTGGGAATTCCCTGCTGGATTGTCACCGTCTATATGGTGCAGCTAGTCAAGCCTGACCTCACTGTTTGTGAGTTTTGGGGGTGTTCATCATGTTTTGCTACCTGAGGATGATCATTCTTTCTGCCCCTGCCATGCTGCCTAATGGGTTGCTGATGTTTATGACTCGAGTCCTTTGAGGTATGTTCTCACTGGGTCTCTGCTTTAATGGATTTTGCTTCCGAGTTGGAGACTTTCCAGGCAGCCTTTATGGGCTTGGTTTTTCCGTGTTAAGCATTCGCTGCATATTGATCAGCTGGATGCCCCAGAGTTGGCCCCTGTGCTGCAAGGGACTCAGAATTGGAGGTGTTGGTGACCTCCACTTAGAATCTGTCCACCCCCTCTCTTCCTTCCCCTGCTGGTGTGGTGCACCTTGCTTCTGGTAATCCCCCATCCTGGTTCCGGCTCTGAAGCGTCTGAGGGTAGACGGAGTTGGGTTGGAATGTAACTCTGCATTTGTAGCTCTCAGGGCATTTGCCTTCACAACTGCCCTCTTGCTCCAAGCCTTCTTGGGGAGGACACATTCCTTTCTCAGGTGTTGGATGAGGAATTTAGCTCTGCCTTGGGACTGAGGGGAGCCCGAGGAGTGGCCCTGGGAGCCTTTCAATCCTTCGTGGTTCTTGGTCTTCTTGGAGAGTCTCATGTTGCAGGGGGATAATTTTTTGTATCCTCCCTCTATGGTAGATCACAGTAAGTACCTGTACATAAGGTTTGAGCATATAAATATAAATATATACATATAATATTGGTTGCAGAAGTAACATCAATACTGAAGCTGCAGCTGCTTTGCCAGCGCCGCATGATATGAGGCGACAGTATTCGGCGTAAGATAACAGTCCTGGAACAACCATGAAAGGAAGGACAAACGAATCCTATCAGAGAACAAAGTACACCTACACAGTGATAGGAAAAACCAGAAGGACCACCAGGAAACTTCATACTGCCGCCGAGACGAAGCTCGCAGGTGGGAGACCAACAATGAAGCCAACTGTGCCCCATATAAGTGATGATAGACTTGAGTCAGAAATTCCAGACATGAAGACTGGAGGAGAAGAAGAAACCAGCCTTGTTTCTGGCTGGACCGATCTGCTGAAAGAGGCGGAGCCGCAGGGAAACCCCTTGGGTTTGGACACCGAGCAAGCAGTGCCTGAAACCAAGGCTGGGCCGGCCACCAAGGAGCCAGAAGGACAACTCTTCCCTGGTAAGTCTCCAAGCGAGCTACGACCTGAAGTAATGGCTGAACCGGGGGAAAGAGGGTTACAAGTAACCCCACCTCGCCCAGTCCTTCCTGAAGGCATTGCATTTGGGGAAGGGCGCCACATATACCGGGAGATGCCTTGACCACTCCGACACGAAGAGATCCACTTCTGGAGGCTTGAACGTACGGCAGAGTCAACTGAACGAGTTGGCGACGATCGTTCATTCCGTGGACAGGGGAATGAACTAGGACAGGCTGTCCGCCATGACACTGGACACCCCCCCGAATATGAACCGCCAGGAGAGCCAAACCCCGAGAACTCAGCAGATGAGCCACCCGAAGCGACCAGCCCCAAAGAGCCAAGTACCGCATGGAACCTCCTCAGTACAGGCAATGACCCACCAGGGAGCAGTCCAAATGGAGCCGGATTGTCGATCCGTGAGCGACCTGAACCCTCCAAAGCGACATCCACACAGCTGCGAACTCCTGCACTGTGCTGTGAGCCTGACGGAAGGACGGACCCCACCGTCCTTTACCGGCCTGGTGAGCACTGGTCACAAAGCCCCAGGCAAGAGATGACGCGTACGTGAACACATCGGCAAGGGTTCGGGTAGGCGCCAAGGCACTGAACCCTGAAAAACCCGAAAGAGGAAGCCAGCGATGCAGCAACCAACGCAAAGCCCCCGCTGACCGAACCCAGTGGTCGCAAGAGAGGCGGAAGGGACGTCCCCGAAGGGATCAGAACAGCCAACGAAGCCACACCCGACCCGGGGGGTAGACTATCATGGCAGTGTTCAGGCTCCTGCACAAATTCTCGAGCAACCGCCGCATGACCCAGGAGCCTCTCTGGAGCAGACGAAGGCAAGAACACAGTCAAAGTAGAGACGCCAGAAGAAGAGACTAGGAAACGGTCCTAGTGTCCCACACAAGACCCAGTCAAGACTGAACCTGAAAGTGAACCAAATGGGACTTCTGCCAGTTCACCAGGAACCCAAACCCGGCGAGCTGGAAAACAACCAAATCCCTGGCGAGCAGGCATGCGGACTGACTGGGAGCCCAAACCAGCCAGTCGCCGAGGTAGGCCAGAACTCGAATACCTAACAAATGCTGGCGGATCACCACGACTTGAGTAAGGCGTGTGAAATCATGAGGCGCCAGATTCAAGCCGAATGGAAGGCAACAAATGTGGTAACCTTGGTGCTCCACAACAAAACATAGCCAGTCCCTGAACCTCGGACGTGCCAATAAGTGTCCTTGAGGTTCAGGGATACCATCCAAGCGCCTGACTCCAACAGAAGACGAACCTGGGAAAAGTAGTTATCCAAAAAGAGGGGCAATAAATCTACGGGTTCAGATGGGATAAGTCCAGAATGAACCGCAGGTCCGCATAGTCCGGTTTCGGGACTGAACTATGTATACATACATAGACGCGATAAAGTATCTAAATTATTGGGATCATCTCAAAGCTCTCCAAATGTACTCGCTAGAAAGACGACGGGAGAAATACCAAATAATATTTACGTGGTAAATACTGGAGGTCCAGGTCCCAAATCTACACAGTAAAATAACAACATACTGGAGTGAACGATATGGAAGAAAATGCAGAATAGAACCAGTGAAGAGCAGGGGTGCCATAGGCACAGAGAGAACTGTATAAACATCGGAGGTCCACGGTTGTTCAACATCCTCCCAGCGAGCATAAGAAATATTGCCGGAACAACCGTAAACATCTTCAAGAGAAAACTAGATAGTTTTCTCCAAGGAGTGCCGGACCAACCGGGCTGTGGTGGGTATGTGGGCCTGCGGGCTGCTGCAAGCAACAGGCTAGTGGACGAAACTCTTACAAGTCAAGCCTGGCCTTGGGCCAGGCTTGGGGAGTAGAAGAACTCCCAGAACCCCATCAAGCAGGTATCAAGCAGGGACTGGAAACAGGCGGGAAACCCACCCGAGGGACGAAGTCGTTTTGACCACGTCCAAGCAAATCCACTCCGAGATGACCTGACAGCGCAGGAGAAGAGGCCTGCCCCATCAGCCCAGAACCCCCCGTAGGAGGAGGGGGCCCCCCTAATGCCACCACATGCTGCACAAAATGACCCAAAAGGCCCACAAATCATGGGACCAAGCACGAGCAAACAGAGCAAGATTCCCTCCCCCCATTGCCCCATCAATGGGACGAACCGCGAAACCTGTGCACCTAAGCGATACACAGGGTGATCCCCGCGCCAACCAGAAAAGATGGAACCGAAGGCTGCGCCTGCCTTGAATATGACACCACAAGCCTACCATAACTGGAAGAACCCAAGCCCTGGCACGACCCTTCCGGGAAGGCGAGTGACTAACGCGTCTGAATTCTGGATCCTGAACTTACTGGATCCTGCAGTCTCTCCGAGACACAAACCAGAGTTTTACACAACTCCCCCATGCACTCGAGCTATGTCAATAGGCCGGTCTCCCTCTCCGCCCTTACTTCATTACATAGTAAGTAAGTTCAGTAGAACTTCAGTTTTCAACTCTTTTGACCATGTTGTAGCTCAGTCGATTAAGGCAGCATCTGGGATGCTCTTGGATGCAAGTTCGAATCCTCGTCATGGCCCTTGTGGATTTGTTCACTCTGTGATTGCTC